TTTGGTGAAGGACAGTGAGACCTCTTCCTTAATTCCATCTGGTTGGTCACACTTATCTTTTATCGATTTTATTGCAATTTGTCTGATTGTTGTGAGCCACCCAGAATTGTTGGGCGGCATATGAGTTTAACAAATTATGACGAAGATGAGGATGATGAGGAACACTGTTCTGGTGTATTCAGTTTATGAGACAGACAGACATCCCACCTGAAGCTCTAGGGTAGATGCTATAGGATTGATGGAAAAATAATTCTGTCCTGATATATAACAATCTTATATTTTGCTGGATTAGTCACACAGTATTATGAGGTACTGTGGTAGTTTTCTATGCATTAATGAAATGGGCAGTGGTATCTCTCTCTCTCTCTCTCTCTCTCTCTCTCTCACACACACACACACACACACACACAGAGTCACACGGTCAAGATCCATGAACGATAGATCCATGAAGCATAGCAGCCTAAGAAAAATGTCTCATTTTACCTTGCGTGGACTGGTGGCAGTAACTTTGAGAAAGGGGCAGTGCCCAGCAACCTTCATGGTTGACTGGACATGACGAGCTTTGAGATTCAAGACCAGCCTGCACTGAACAACGCTCTTTGTCCTTCAATCTCTGTCGAGGACAACCCAGCTATAGTAGTATAAGCATTAAAGAAAATAGGCAGGATTGACAAATCTAAGATTTCATTTACAAACAAGAAGTCCTCCTCCAATCTAGCTCCTTCATTTATCACGTCAGAGTTAGAGACATTTGCAATCAGTAAAGAAACCTCCTTGTTTACACCTTTAAATAAAATTTTGGGCAAGTCAGTGTTTGATTTGCAGCAGCAGAACTCTAGCATTTTAACTTTAAAAGCAAGCTTTGCTTTGCTACTGCCTAGTTCTACCACTTCATTCTTGTTGGTGTGTGCCAGCACAGAAGCCCTCATAAATATCCCAATGCTAATGTTCTAATTCTGTTTTAAAAAACCACTTAAGTTGGCAGTTCTGGACCACTAACTCCGATATTTGTGGGTTTTTCTCCCTTTGTTTATCTTGGATGTTATTTTCTGGAAGGGTTTTATTATTCTTGAAAAGCACTATGAGAAATGGTATAGTCATTAAGACTGCGCAGGGCTTCAGATTCAGTAATGGCAAAAAGGGTTGTCAGAGCACCGAGGTTCCCCGCATAGCACCTGTCTGCAGCTCTTTAAAGCTACTGCATCCTGAGTACAACATGGCGGCCTTCTGCGGTTTATAAAGAATTGTATCCGGGCCAAAGAGGCAAACTCCAGGTGCTCCAAAGCATGGTTTTGCCATCAAATCCAAAGCACCGAGCAACCCTCTTAGATGGGCTTTTAATACATAGATCAATAAAGGATGGTTGCAAATAGCAGCAAGGAAATTTATTCCACCCTCTAATACAGGTCTGTAGCAGAAAGGATAATTAAGTAGATTCCCCGCCCCCAAAAAATGTCCTGAAATTTTGGAAGATGCTAGACTAATTTTCAAGTCTTTTTTTTCACAATAAGGAAGACAAGAAATAGTTACAGAGTGGGGATTATAAACCATCGAAGTATAGAACATTAAGTGAATAATAAGTGAACATCATGCATTAATTACATATGCTTATAAATTCCTTTTAGTGCTGTCAGTTTCCATTTGCCTTTTCCACTTTTCTTCTGTTTATTTAAATAACCCAGCCTTCTAGCTTTGGTAGAGTACAGCAACCAAACTGTCCATGCTGACAGGGGAGATGATGGGATCTGATGTCTAGCATAGCCAGAAAGTGCCACAATGGGAATGTAGACTTAGCTTCTATGAGGCTCAGACTTACCAATGTATATTGGCCATTTCTCTATTTAATAAGAAAGAATGGAGGAAGAATTGTTCACATATGTACAATTCTTAAATTTTCATCAATATAAAATTAGACCCAAACTTTATAAAGAATATAAAGTTAGACCCAGACTGTAATCACATCCTAGAGTAGAACCACTGAGCTCAATGGAAGTAAAATGAATGTTTATATAAATGGGTAAACTTAAACTGCAATTTATAACTGTTACTTGTTAACTTATGTTAACTCATTCAGCGACAAGTGGTTTCAGTATGAGAAATCTTTTCTAGTATGATCTTAGAAATCCAATGTACTTGCTTAGAAGTATATCTGATTCATTGCCCTTCTTCTGAAGAACTCTGTGAACTTTCCAATTGATTTTTGAGAATTTATTCAGGACAGTTTGCAGGCTCCTCTACAAAGCTTCTGTGGACACCCCAAATAAATATTCCAAATTCCAATCATATTCCATATGCACAACAATCTATCAAAATAAAGTACTAACTATAGATGCGTTGCCAGGAAGACATTAGATAGCAGGGGTATGCATAAGGTCCTGAAGAAGCAGAGAGTTCACATGACGGTAGGCAGCAAGAAAATATAGATGGAAATGAAGAGCAGATGTGGGGACAAGCAAAATATAGCGGCAGGAAGACGAGATCTAAACAAGGGAAACCCAATACGTAAGGAACACAAAGTCAAAGTAGAAACACTAACAGAAGCCAGCGTAATGCGGCACACACCCCCTGCCCTCTTACCACTTACTGGTAGCAGCTGGTCTATGCAAAGACCCGCCTTCTTGTTACACACTGCTCAGCAGTGGGGAACAGTCCGCACCTGCTATCCAGGCTAGTGCTGTACACCAGGATGCATACACCATTCTGGATCAGGAGGGTGAAAATCCTGGCAAAATGATCTGAGAAAATCATGCTGATCTGAAGTAACACGTAGATCACAGCAAACCTTGGTGTATATTTGCTAGTCTATGCCATACATAGCTGCAGCAAAAGCTTTCTTTAAATTAAATTCCATTCATCATCATGTAAAGGCTACTGGGAAGTTTGGCTATGCAACTTTCCGTCAATTCAGTGGTGCTTCTGTAGAACTTCAATGTGGATTGTACCCAGTAGCCTTAATTATTAATGAAAACCTTGGCAGGGACTGCCAGTATAATGTTGGTTTTATCTAATAGGGCCACAATACACACAACGCACGCTCACGAAAGGGAGGAAAAAATCCAACAAATTAGCAATAAGAATGAAAAAATCAGTACATTATTTAAATCTGAGTTACTGCGAATGAAAATTGGAATCTGGAGTGCTTTATAGACAATCCAATGTTGAGGAATAAACAAATAGTTTAGTGAAATTTAAATCCTTCGTTTGCTGTTGACATACTATAAAGCTCTGGGCATAGTATCAACTTCCTGCCTTGATTCCCTTTTTGCTAATAGTAGTAATAACAGTCATGCTAATTTACATATCACAAAAATGTTGTGATTTTACCATCTTTACAAGGGCTTGAATATTCATGGCATTTTTTACAAATAAAACAATTAGTATTTTTTTTTTGTTCTCAGTAACATGAGCTTATCTTTATCACTAACTGTAGTCCTATAATTGCAGTTGATTGAAACATGACTGTACAGTTTTCAATTTCTATTTCTTTTAATAAATAAGATTATTTGAATTTTAAAAAATCTCTCATATAAAAGGGGGAGTATGCTGCCAACTTTTTAAACAAATCTCCTGCTTCTCATCTTGATGACATGCGACTATGAAGTTGCAGCATAGAACTGACTCCTCCTTCAATCTTCTTCACATAGCCTGAACACTGTAAAGGAGTGGTCCTAAGTAGAATTTCACCAGCTCACAAAATCAATAATCGAGCTTATGACCCATATGCAAGAAAGCGCATTTTTACCTATTTGGAAAAAATTTCACATTTATTTACTGTCAAACAGGTGTTAAACTTTACATTGGATATTAGTGATGGGCTCATTATTAACAGGTTTACACAAAGGGATTTGGGGAAAAAGAGAAAAAAAACCTGAAACAATGTACATTTAATTAGCTCTTTTATCATAAAATAAATTAATTACTAAATATAGGCAGAAGGAATATGGAAGAGTAATATTTATGTTTTCTCTTAGCTTAAAAGGGTCAGGCACCTTTCATTCATTAGCCCACCTTCCCTCCTCCTTCTCCAAATCAAAGAACAAAAAGGGAACTGAATCTATGACTAGTGAATAGATGTGGGTGACTGTTTTTTTCTAACCAAATTTGTGCAAGGCCTGGCATAAATTGGCATCTAAGAGAATTCTTCCCAGAAAATATGTTCTTTTGGCAATATCAAGTTTAAGCCATAAGAATAGTCATGTCAAAGCAGAACACTGTTTACAGTGAAAAAGAAGTGGAAAATGGGTAGAGTTTGCATTTTAAACATATTACCAAGTGTAAGAAGAAACAGCTTGTAGCATATGTGCAACCAAGAGCATTTCACAATATTTTCTTCAAATCCTTTAAAATTACTTTAATGACAATTATATTTCTGTTTGGACACAAAGGTATTTATTTATTTTACCCTAGCAATAGAACAAAATATAATTTCTTTAGCCATTTTTTTCATGAGAACAGTTCATTGTACAGTTGAAGAAATATATGAAATAAGGCCTGTGGCTTGATTGCTAGTGGTTAGACATGTTTTCAACCTTTGCCTTAGTGGGAAAGATTTGCCATGAACAGCAAACTGGTGCAGAATCTCTCTCCTGCTTTTGCAAGTCTAGTCAGGAATAGTAAGGTACAGTAAATTTGTCCCACAGGATTTTAGTGCCTACGTCTTGTATATAATACAATGCAGGCATACAAAAATGATGCAGCCATATTTACAAATTTAGTTCACAAACTGCTGCTGTAAAATGGCTGGAACACTTTGCGTGTGTGTGTGTGTGTGTGTGTGTGTTTAGTTCACAATCTTTTTTTTTTTTTTAATGTCAGCAGCAAGATATCTTAAAATACCTTGATGGTATCTCTTTTTTTTTTCTTTGTAACAAATAATTCTTTTAGTATACTCTGTGTATATACAAAGCTTTGTTTTATAAAAATTCACAGAACTGAAAGGTCCAGTCAACTCCTTTACATGGGAGAAACCACAGGGACAAGAGAATTGTCACTTCAAGCAGATATGAGGGGGTCTGCATGGAGCCAATTAAGTCTGTTTAATACTTGCATGTGGCCTTCAATATTCCTTTGCTACACTATTAAAGGCTTGTCACTAGCTGCATTTGTCCTTCCCTAACGTCCCCTTCTGGAATACATCCTTCCTTGTTAATGGGAATGATATAGCCATCACTATTCCCCCTGCTGATTTGATAGTACATCTGAAGCTGATGGCCAGCTCCAAGGTTTGGCATACTTTTGTAGTAAATGTCCTCATTTTCGCTTCTCCGGGAGGGAGAGAGATCTTCCTCGATGTCAGGACTGCTCTCAAGGTATGGAGAGTCTCTGAGGTTGGGCATACTTGTGTAAAGCGAGTCTCTGTTGGGTGATTGGAGGTGGTCTTCAACTTCAGCTGTCAACTGGGACACATAACTATCGGTTCCTTCAATCTTCACTTTCTTCTGTGGTTGGTACAGAAGAGAGTGAGTCCGTTGAGGAATCAGAGGGGCCTCAAGTTCCTTTTGGTGCAGCTCCAGGCCCGTATTATCACTGTGCATTAAAGATGAAGCATCAGCAACAATGGCATCATCTTCACTACTACTCCCACCGATCACAGCTTTGATTGGTAATGTGCACTCCAGGTTATGGTTCTTGTGGCTGCCTCGCAGGTTGTTGTGCACCAATTCTGAAATGATCATTTTTTCAAATGCAGTATCATTCAGGCTTAGTCCACAGTCTACAACTTGCACACTGTCATTATAGTCTCCGTTGCGCAAAGAGTAGCTGTTGTTGAAATTACCATTTAGCGGTAGAGTATCCATGGCACTTGTATCCCTGGCATTGTTCAGTGAATGTCCTGCAACAGAGAAGGGACACCCATGGGTTACTATCTCTCCTAGAGCTAAAATTTTATTCTATGAAAATCTTTAATGTAGTTCAGGACAAAGTTGTACTTGGAAGTAAGACTTGTGACATGACTGGGAGATTCCCAAGGGTAAAGAGTTATATACCTTATAGAAGAGAGAGAGAATTTTACAAAGTAATACTGCTTTTCCATGGAGCTTCAATAATACTTTCAATTTGAAATTTGAAAACAAATTTAACAAGCTCTAATGTACCAATTTATGACTCAGTTCTACAATTCTTCCTGCAAGGAAGAGTAAAGTGACTCCATGTCCTTGCATATGAATGCAAAGCAATTCATTCATAAACATTTAGCATATAAGTACAACATCATGGTTCAGAAAAAACAAAATCAACAGAATTTGTCCTAAACAACACTAAATTAAAAAAGAAAAGGAAG